TATGAGGTTCAGTAGTTGGTGAATTAAATGCATTTTTGACTTATGGTTAAGTCCATCAGCACATGATCCCAATATACACTGGAGAACATGTGTAAACAACTAACTTTTCATAAAAAACAATGGAGGTGGGCATGGTGGCACATGCCTGTAATTCCAGCACACAGAAGGCTGAAAAAGGAGGATCTCCATGAATTCAACTCAGTCTGGACTACATAAGTGGGTTCAAGGCCAGCCTGAACTATACAGAGAGACCCTCTCTCAAGCAAAACAAGCAAACAAAAACAATGCAGACAAAAGACATTATAGATACTTAAAATATATAGACAAAAATCCACTGTCCCAGGGAAAAAAAAAGTTTTTCTTCAGGTTCCTTTAACTATGTAGCTCAGGGTGGGCTCAAAGTAGCAGCTAACGTCCTGCCTCAGCCTCCCAAGTGCTGGAATTACAGGCACGCACCACCATGCCTGGTTTCATCCCAGAAATGTTACAGCTAAAAATATTTTAATTTACAATAGCTAAACTATGAAACCAGCTTAGGTACCCACCAACAGAAGAACAGATAAAGAAAACGTGGTATACATACACAGCCATAAAGAATGAAATCAAGTCATATGCAGGAAAATGGGTGAAACTAGTGAACATTCTGTTAGGCAAAACTCAGAAAAGACAAATAATCCAGACTCAGAAAAATAAATATTGTATGTTTCTCTCACATACGGAACAACACCACAAAAGCAACCAAAATCAAGTGATGTCATGAAAATAGAACAGGGACTATTAGAGAACACGAAGGGAACATGGGCAGTGGGGGAGTGAAGTGCAAGGGGGAGTGGGAGGTAGAAATGATCAAAATATGCAGCCTGCAGCTACAAATCTGCAAAAATGAAATCCATCCATCTGTATAAGCAACACTTGCTGACACTAAAAAAGCAAGCAAAATAGATTTTCGATTTAAAGAAAAGTTTATCTATAGGAGACGTCACAAAGGAATTCTCTCGTTCTTTCCTTCCTTCCATCTTCCCTTCCTTCCTCCCTCTCTTTTTCTCTCTCACCATATACAATAGAATATGTGATGTGTTTTAGTCTGGCTCATTCCATTTAACACAATCTGTGATTCCATCTACTTTCCAGGCTGGCTAGAAATGGAATAAGTACATATAAAAGACTGGATATTTTTCTTAATTTCTTTAAAGGACACATTACTAAAAAAATAAATAAAATAAAATAAAAGACACATTACTTAGAGCAAAAAATAATATGTGGTCTATTATGTAAATAGATGGAATTTATATGATAATAGCAAAAAATGAAAAATGTTATGTTACTTAAAACTCTAAATTTAGAAGATGATTCCATTAACATCAAATGTAGGTAACTGGCAGAACACAGACAAAAAAAAATTTTTCACAACAAAACAAGGTCAATTTATCAGAATACTTAAACATCATAAATGCAAATAATCCCAAGAGAATTTAGAGACAAAGCATAAACACAGTTGAAAAATTCAAATAATTCAAATAATTGAAATAATTCAAAATAATCAGTTGTACTGCCATACTGAAATTACTAAGGATATGATAGGGAGAATATAGGAGAAAAAATAAGATTACAGAAGATTTTACAGAAGATTATTATTTTCAAAATTCTCAGCCTAAATGATCTTTATTGAACACTACCAAAGTACAAAATAAAACAACACTTAAAAATTGATGTAATGCCTTGCAAAAAAATTTCAATAAATTGCATGACTAAAATCTTACAAATATGTTCTCTAAACACAAATTACAAGTCAAAAATAAAATATCTCATATTTGGAAATCAAACAACATAATTTTAAATAATCCACAAGTCAAAGAAATCACAGATATAATTAGAAAATATACCAAGGGTTTGCAATGAGGCTCAGTACTGCTTGCCTAGCACACAGAAAAGCTGTGGGTTCAATACCTGTACCAACTGCCTTCCCAAAATCTAAACAATAAAAATAAAATGCAGCAGAAAAATTTGTTACATGCAGCTAATACAATATATAATCTTTAAATTTTTTTATCAGAAGAGAAAAAAACATTTAAATTAATGCTTGTTTCTACTTTAGGAAGTTAAAAAAAAAAAAAAAAAGCAAATTAAATCCAAAAAAATGGGGGGGGGGGAATCAGTAACACCAAAGATAGTTCTTTGAAAAAGTCAACAGAACTGACAAACTCCTAGTAAGACTGATTAAGAAAAAGGGAGGTGACACTGGGGCTGGGGGTTTGATCTGGCTTGCAGTGCCAGCCCCGCCCCAGGGGCACACTGAGACTGGGCTTAGTGGCATGCGCCTGTAATCCCAGCTCTTGGGAAGCTGAAAACGGGAGGATTATTACGAGTCCCATCTGTGCAGTGAAACCCTGTAGACCCTGTACTAAAAAAAAAAAAAAAAAAAAAAAAAAAAACCTTGAAAAACATGCCTGGCCAAAGTTGACAAAACAGGAAGTAAAATATGTGACTAGGTTAATATCTATTAAGGAAAATAAACTTATTATCAAAATTCTTCCCACAAACAAAACACTATTGAGATAATGTAACTAGTAAATTCTATTAAAAAGAAAAAGAAAGAAAAAAAAAAAACAGTATTACAAGAATGCTTTCAAAAAAAGAACTTAACACTGTACACCTCATTTTATGTAGTGAACATAACTCTGATACCAAGGTATCACTGAATCTTCATGTTTATCCACTCATTCAGCAAGGATTTATTAATATGTAGTCTGTTCCAGGTAACTGAGAAAACTGCCTTTTTTTTTTTTTTTTTTTTTTTTTTTTTTTTTGAGACAGGATCTCATTGTACAGTTTGGACTGGCCTCATGCTCGCTTTATGTAGCCCCCAGACTGGTCTCGAACTTGCAGAGATCCTCCTGTCTTAACCTCCCAAGTGCTGGGATTATAGGCATGTGTACCACCCTACTAGCAAAAGAGGCTTTGTCTGACCACTACTTGCAAACTTTCACAGTGAAAATAGCATGCTACTACCGATATTAGCTTTATAAACAGATATGCATTTAATGCCCCAAAGTTCCTATTTCCTTTGCTGTGAAATGGGCATAACAGTAGCACCTGAAGCCATCCTTGAGTACTTAGCTATCGCCCACACAATAGAACAAGAGCCGTTATCATCATGACCCCTGGATTTTTATTTTTCCTTTTAACAGAACAGCCTAATTCTTCTCAGTTTGAGTTGAATATACAACCATACCATGGTTCTTAGTTATCTACCAGTAGAATAGCATCCCTTTCTTTGTGCCTGTGTGTGAGGCGGACAACTTTAAAAGCAAGTTTAGAAAAGGGGAAAAGAGAAGTGTCATGGCTTGTGTCCGGAGACCCCGCAAAGCCTCCTGTGGCCATAGATGGGCTTTTACGGGGTGGCTGCCTCTAGAGCGTGGCGCTAGGATCAAGGGTATGTGATTACCAGGTGAGCTCTCGGGCTGACTTGTTGTGGTTCTGGAGTGACAATGAGAAGGCCCACCCTGGGGGTGACAGCCACCCGCCCGAAGGGTGCGGAGCCCGGATGCCACTAAGGGATAGGAAGAAGGCTGCTGTGGTCCCCTACCACACTGCCTTCTGCCTGCCTGCTCTGCGACGCTGTCTGCCAGGCCACCCTGCCTAAGAGTCAGAGAACTATGAAGCAGAACCTCTACAAACAGTGAGAGGAAATAAACATCTCTGCCCTTACTTTGGTGTTGCATACCTCATCTTAGCAATGACAAAGGGAAGACAAGAGGGAAGAGGGAGGAGAGAGAAAATCACTTTCAGATTAGCAGTTGCACATTTCATAAAACAGGTATATATGAATAAAAATTTAAAAATATAAATAACTTGTACCAAGGAATGAATGAAATTTATAAAACTATTCACAGGATTTTTAAAATACACACAAAAAAGAAAAGTGCATTGCAAATTATTAACACTGAACTTACAGGAAATGTCTAAGAAAACCTCCTATTCACAGATAGGAAACACACCAAGCACTGTTTCTGGATATATTACCCAGTCAGCCTCCACCTGAGGGGTCTCCAGCTCTTACTACTTTCCTCACTGCAAACATCACAAGGAAAAGCATCTGTCTGAAATCTGAGGCAAACCGGCAACTCAGTTTAAAATAAACAGGGAAAGAAGATCCTTCCCTAAGTATTCCTTCTCTTATTTTCTTTTTTCAGGTACCTATATTCATTGCCTCTCACAGATCATAAATCAAATACAATATTAAGTTCTAGCTGTTGCTCAGGAAAAATAAGGAACAGAAAACACTCAGGAAAAACACCCTCAATATTCAAGTGAAAAAGAACTGAACATACCTCACTCAATTTTGCTAAGGGGCAGGGGGCTGGTAAGAGCCTACTCAGCAGCAACAAGGACAGACCAAAGTCGCTTCCAGAGGAGGCTGGTGTGGAGGCTAGAATCTGACAGTCATCAGTTCAGGATCAGAGGAGTGTGCAGGACTTTACAGAGAATACCTGAGTTTTACAAGACTCTAAACACTGAATTTGCATCTTGATTTTACACATGTTAATCTAATCTGAAACAGGAAACCAGTTCATTCTGAAAAGAACTGAATCACATCAACGTCGAAAGTTTAACAGAAAGTGTTTGCTATATGAATCTTAACTTTTGTCATTATGTTGTAAAAAAAACAAAATGGAAATCCAAAATAAAATAAATATAAAAAATTAATCATGCAAAAATTCTTCAATGTAGACCACTAAAATTTGTGTCTCAATGATGGAAAAGTTTTAAAAATTACAAATATGGAAAGTAGCTATTACTTTTCAATATTATTTTAAGAACATGAACTATTATTACTCTCTAGTTTTTATGTTTTCCCATTTACAGTCTAACATGCTCCCTACATAATACAATGAACTTAAGTTTCTTCTACAACCAAATGTGACTCTAACAAAACAAAAGCAGAAGACTGAATGACTCTAGTACAGGCAGACAGCCTCGTCTTCTAGTGCACCACTTACCGCTGGAAGCGTGAGCCAGGTGGCAACGAGGCGGTTGTTGATCCAGCGATACCAAGGTGGGCTTACAAACATCAAAGGTAAGAAGGGACCCAGCATGAAAATGCTGCCAAAAAAGCTTCCACAAAAAAGAATGAGTATAAAGTAAATCCCTTTCCATGACACCATGATTCTGAAAAACACAACACAAAGGACACATTATTATACATTTAGCTGCTCAAATACCACATTAGCATGATGCATATAATAATTTTTTTTTTTTTTTTTTTTTTTTTTTTGGTGGAAACCAGCTCAGTATAGTTCAGGCTGGCCCTGAATTCACTATGTAGCCTAAGTTGGCACTAACTCACTACGATCTTCCCAAACGTTGGGATTTCAAACATGCACTACCACACACAGTTATGATAATCTTTAACAACAGGGCTACAGAAAAGGCTCTGATAAAGATCCGAGATCCTGAATTTCCTAGAGATACCCCTCTAACACGATGTGTAGTTATAACAAATTTCAAGTACATTAGACATTAATATTCTCAGCAAAGTAAACACCTTGTCTCCAGGGACAGGAGGAGGTCTAATTCCAGGAATTTTTTTTAGCATTATTAGTTTTTATCATGAAATAATATATTTTCTTTTGCAGCATGCTATCTAACTCAAAATCTTAAAATATCTCATAGTTGTTTTCTGCCTAGAAGTAGAAATAATGGAGAAAGAACTGCAGAAGAGCTTCTTTGAGATGGGGACAGATAAAAGAAATGGCAATTTAACAAGAGTGCAACAAAATAAAAATACATTTTTCATTAACCTAGAGATGTTTATTCTTTACATTAGACTCTAAAAATAACAACTGTGGCCCCTTGCCACTAACTAGCACTCTGTTCATTGCAGGGATGAGTAGAAGTCCACCGTTCCTGTCTTCTCTGAACTACTTGTCAGTAATCGTGACATGGAAGCACCTGTAATCAGCTGAAGTTCAGCAAGGCTGTTACACTCAACTTGATACACACTTCCTGGAGGAGAGACGAGCTCCCGTAGGCTACACGCAGGGAGAGAGGGGCTCTATAAGTACATAGCTATAAAAGGACCTCACCATATTTCTCGATAATGTCAAGTGTGTCCTAAATTAGGCTTTGCATTCTCATCTAATCTAAACACAAGCTTCAGATGTAAAGTACTGATTATATTAATGGTGTTTACAGGTAAAAACTGCAAAATTTGGTTCTCTTCATTACAAGTCCCCAACAGTATTTATATTGAAATAGGTGAAATAAAGGACCTAGAGCCAAAGGCATTCCCAGAAAGTAAAGTGGAGACAGTATAGAACTAGGGACATAGGGGGACCGGGGAGATAGCTCAGTAGAATAAGCGCTTACTTGGCAAGTGCAAGGGCCTGAATTCAATCCCTGGCTCTGCAAAAAAAAAAAAAAGAAAGAAAGAAAAAAAGAACTAGGGACAATAAAATATTTAAAGATATAAAAGTAAGTAATGAGTGAAGAAAATATACACTAAGAAGTTTAATTGGAAATTCATTTAATTATGAGATGAAGGATAATGAAGTACCTAACAAACCAGACAATCTCTTTATGCTGAAATTCCATTTCATGTATTCCACTCTACTAAATATGCAGCTCTGGAAATCCTCAATGCTTTTCAAAACGTAGAAAAATATAAAAGTATATTTAAACACATAAATGCTGTTATAAATTACATTCTTATGTATTTAATACACAAATTATCCACATACATTCTAATTAAAAAGCCTTGTATCATTCTTTGTAAGACAGACTCATTAGTGGTCAGTGAAGTAAAAATTAAAATGAAACGCCATTTTCCTTCTATTTCATTCGAAAAATAAAACCATTTGTGATACTCAACATTAGAAGACTACACAGGTGCAAATGTACTTCTCTGTTCTGCTACTAAGATTAAACATTAGGACCATTTTTTAGGGAAAGGGTAACTACTTGTCGGCTGGAAATGATGGAGCTTGCCCATAATCACAGTATTCTCGAAGGATGAGGCAGGAAGATCACAAGTTCAAGCCCAGCCTAGGAAACTTAGCAAGGCTCTACCTCAAAATAATAAAACATGAGACAGAAACAGTGCTGAGTGTGTAACTCAGAGAAAAGATTCTCAACTCAATCCCTACTTCCATAAAGAAAGCCAAAGAAATGAATCTGTCAACATTTAGATGTGCATACTTAATTAGCAATAGTACTTCAAGGTCTCTACCATGCAGAGACCTTGATATTTATAGAAATGCACAAAGATATGGGAACAAGACCATTCACTGAAGCATAATCTGTAATACTGGTCAACAGGAGACAATAAACCCTTTCAATAAGGAAAGAGAACATTTTACAGTAATTCTGTAATGGTCTACTAAACAGCTACTCAAAAGAATAAAGTAACTTATACTGTTTGCTATGTAAGGATATCCGTGATGTGTTATTCAGCAAATAAAACAGACTGCAAAACACTGTGGATACTATGATCTTATTTTTATCCTCATAAGCCAAATTCTAAAAATGTATACATGCATTTTTATGTAAATGTATTTCTAGTTTAAAGTTTTTATAAGTCTGACAATAAGTCAATAAGGAAGCATGGTAAACCCAAGATAACAAAGAGGCTGCCTAGAAAAATACCCTTTCCTCAATCTTCTTCCACACCTTTATCTGGTTTAAGGGATCTCCTTTGAAAATCCAAGCAGAAATCAGAGATCAGTGCTGCCCAAAGTCAGACATCTGAGACAGACAACAGAAAACAGATCTGCAGGGCAAAGACAAGACACTTAGAGGTAACAAACAGAGTTAACCAAATTAAGGTGGTTATGAAACATCAGAGTAAGGGCCAACCAGAATGCTCAGCAGACTAAAGCACCTGCTTAGGCAGAGCAGAGTGGCCAGTGTTCAATCCCAGGCATGCTGTGCTGGACCCTCCCCCGGGAGGCGCTGAAGCAGCAATGAAGACTGGGCAAGGTGGTACGCACCTGTAATCCCAGACTTGGGAGGCAGAAAACAGGTGGATCACTCCATGTCCAATCTACGTAGTGAGACCCTGTACTAAATGCATAAAAAAAACAAAAACAAAAAAAAACAGAATAGGATTCCCATTTGTATTTATATGTACATTATAGAGTGGTGGAGTTCCTGTTAGGCCCAGGCCAGGGGAGTAGGTGGAAGTCTCCTAAGATGCCCGGTGGGCTAGAGCACTGGGAAGCCTGAAGGGAGCGTGAGGACGCCGCGAGGGGAGCTCCACGGCAGGCCTGAAGAAGAGTGGCGACCGAGCCCGCCTTCCCTGCACCATGCTCATAGAGGATGTGGATGCCCTCAAGTCCTGGCTGGCCAAGTTACTGAGGCCGATATGTGATGCAAACCCTTCAGCTTTAGCCAACTATGTTGTAGCCCTGGTCAAGAAGGACAAACCTGAGAAAGAACTGAAAGCCTTTTGTGCTGATCAGCTTGATGTCTTTTTACAAAAAGAAACTTCAGGTTTTGTGGATAAACTATTTGAAAGTCTCTATACTAAGAATTACCTTCCACCCTTGGAACCAGTTAAGCCTGAGCCAAAACCACTAGTCCAAGAAAAAGAAGACGTTAAAGGAGAGGTATTTCAGGAGCCAGCAGAAGAAGAAAGAGATGGCAGAAAAAAGAAATACCCTAGTCCTCAGAAGGCTCGTTCAGAATCTAGTGAACGAAGGACACGTGAGAAGAATAGAGAAGATGGCAAGTGGCGAGACTACAACTGGTGCTATGAGCAGAACGAGCTGTACCGTGAGAAGTATGACTGGAGAAGAGGCAGGAGTAAGAGCCGCAGTAAAAGCCGAGGCCTCAGTCTAAGTAGAAGTGGAAGTAGGGGGCGCAACAAAGATCGGAATCCCAACAGGAATGTTGCAGAGCACAGGGAAAGATCAAAGTTTAAGAGTGAAAGGAACGATTTGGAGAGTTCCTATGTGCCTGTGTCTGCACCACCTCCAAACTCTCCGGAGCAGTATTCCTCTGGGGCACAGTCTATTCCCAGCACCATGACTGTGATTGGCCCTGCTCACCATTCCGAAAACACCACAGAGAGTTGGTCTAAGTATTATAACAATCACAGCTCTTCCAATTCTTTTGGTCGAAACCCAGCACCAAAGCGGCAATGTAGAGATTATGATGAAAGAGGATTTTGAGTTACTTGGTGACCTTTGTCAGTTTGACCATGGCAATGCTCCTCTAGCTGTTGATGAAGTTGCTCTGCCAAGTATGATTCCTTTCCCACCCTCTCCTCCTGGTCTTCCTCCTTCACCACCTCCTGGAACATTAATGCCTCCAATGCCAGGCCCTGGCCCAGGTCCAGGTCATAGTATGAGACTTCCTGTTCCCCAAGGACACGGTCAGCCTCCATCTTCTGTAGTGCTTCCCATACCAAGACCACCAATATTACAGTCAAGCTTGATAAACAGTCGTGACCAGCCTGGGACAAGCGCAGTGCCCAATCTTGCACCAGTGGGAGCAAGACTACTTCCTCCTTTACCCCAGAACCTCCTTCATACAGTATCAGAACGACAACACATGTACTCTCGTGAACATGGTGCTGCTGCATCGGAGTGACTTCAGTTGGAGACACCGCCTCCTCTGCTGGCAGCTCATTTGGTGCCACCTCGAAACCTCATAGAATCCTCCATTGAGTATCATACCTCAGTGTCCAGCCCCACCCCTCTGGTCCCAGGTACATATGAACCAGATGGTTATAACCCAGAAGCACCTAGTATTACCAGTTTTGGTAGATCACAGTACAGACAGTTCTTTTCAAGAACACAGACACAGAGACCCAACCTGATTGGCCTAACATCTGGAGATACGGATGCAAATCCAAGAGCTGCAAAAATTGTCATCCAGAGTGAACCACCAGTTCCTGTTTCAATTAATAGCAACATAACCAGAGTTGTTCTTGAACCAGATAGCCGAAAAAGAGCTGTGAGTGGTTTGGAAGGGCCACTCACAAAGAAACCTTGGCTGGGAAAGCAAGGGAATAACAATCAGAGCAAACCAGGATTCTTGCAAAAGAATCAGTATACAAACACCAAATTAGAACTCAAGAAAATCCCTCAGGAATTGAACAATATTACCAAGCTCAATGAACATTTTGGCAAATTTGGAACTATTGTTAATATCCAGGTTGCTTTTCA